GGTTCGTACGCCTCCACTTGGTTGGTTTGCAATAAGGTTCTTGACCAACTCCCCTAGATGAACTACCAGTGGTCCACCAACCCGGCTATCGGCTTTTCGTCCTCTCACTTTGGTGGGAAAACACCTCCAACACGAGAAGGCTTCCTCAGGAGACTATATGAGAGCATTTCGTGGGGTGCAAGGGCAAGGGTGACCAGCCGCAACCCTAAACACCCACCCCGACCATACTGAGGCTTTTCCATACCCATCACCAGAGCACCTAGTGCCCAGATAGTATTATAGAGATCAATCTACAGTGGTCCTCTCATGTGCTAGCTTGTGTTGGTAGACTGCATCATTTATCCTTGCAGATACGCAAGCTACGACAATTTAAAGTGAAACTTGCAACTGTTCCTTTAATTACCAATGCATTTTTTCTGCCATCCTTTATCGTTCTCCCGTTATTTTTCCTGGACTACTTGATAAGGACTTCGGTACTCTTCGTCGCGGTATGGTAATTGCCAATCGTGTTCCTCTTATTCCCCCAAACACTCTAATCACAAAATTGCGTGAATTTCGCCCATAAGATATTCACTGACCCCAATCATCCGCTCAATCTCGATCTATCTGCTTACCGTTACCTCACAACATATCGATCCAGTTATTGCTACTTACTCAGGATAAACATTTATCGCAATTCAACAGTACCCTATCTGGGTGTTTTTCTAACTGACAAGATGAAGATCCCAAAACGAAATAATTTTAACCCTCCAATAGTGGCCTTCTGTTTAAGTTTTATTTTTTTTTGTAGAGAACTTTCATTTTTATCCCGTTGTAATGGTGAACACATTTTTTGACTGAGACGTAGGACAGCTGGCTGCACAAGTCATCACAATACAATACAATTCACAAGATTTCAGGAGAGAAAATAACGCTTACCTTCTGGAGGTTGAGATAGGGCGAACAAGCAAGCGATTGCATACAGCTGCACCATACAAGTTCCCAGTGTGTCCTTGGACTCCATGTTCTTCAAAAGATTAGCTGAATGACGTAATTGTGGTACAATGTTATTGAAAATCAAGTCATCTACATCGGCTTGAAGTGCACCTAGTTTCTTACAGACTGTTTGTAACAAACAAAGCAGTACACGAGATAAGCCACACTGCGTCGTTTGCAATTTGCTATCCGCGTGGGCCGAACGGGGAAGTAAATTGTTCACGAAACGGAACAAAGCAACCCAACAGGCTGTAGAAACCTTGCGTGAGATAACTTTGGTTCCGAGTAGTGGAGCTGAATCTGGGGAGGACAAGGAGTCCAAACCAGTGGTGACAAGAAATTCAAGCACCGGTTTGGTAAGGCTTGTGAACAACTCGTCCGAATGATGAACACTGGCATGTAGTAGGATTTGCAGGTTATTGGCTACGAAAACTCGAATAGTATCGATATTGTGAATTGGAACGGTTTCTGGCTCTTCTCTTTTTTTTGTGAAAGCAGTTGGGTGCGGTATCTTCGGTTCGGTGAAGAGCAGCATAAGCTGCTGGGCATATCTCATTAGGTCCACGGAATCCAGCATTTTGGGAGCTCTTTGCAACAAAAACTGATAAAAAAATTACGAAAAGAAAGATCGCTTTCAATGATTTATGATCAAAAAAAGAGTAGAATTGACGTGCAAAATTGTGCGGAATTCAGTGACTATCGACACCAAAAGTTACCAGTCAGTCGATTTGATATTGTCCATACAGTAGGAGCATTTGCAATACCAGATAGTAGAAAATTATGTGATCGAATTGTGGTTACAATAACATACGGAATTTGCGTTCGAAATCTACTCTCTTACCGGCAATCAACAAAATGGCGCATTATATA